TGGAATATTAAATTTAATTAATTAAAATGTTAAGTTGCTAGTAATTGTTGTATGTTTTAATTAATTAATCTGTCCAATTTATTAGTTAATCTTTGAAAAGTTATTATGTCCATTTGTCAATGAATGAGAAAAATAATTTAGTCAATCAATTCTAGCACATTAATAATGCCTAGAGATAGGATAAAATTAATGGAGTTATTGTGACAGAATTACTCACTAGCTAAATTAATTAGTTAATTTAATAATCCAACTAGTTAAAATATCTGAAAAATTCCTACTGCCTGATATCAATTCATATTCTCTTTTTATCAAACAATTATTTTATTACTTTGTCCAAATCATTTTCGAATCCAAAACCACAAATACCTTTCGAATTTCGAAGGCTTCCAAAATCAATGAGTAAAACTTTGCCTAACTAGATTTTAATAGAAATTTATTTTAACACCAATCCACATGAATACGACACGGGAATAAATCGATCTCTTTTAGAGTGAAATTTACTACCGCTAAAGTTCTTTCGTCAATATTAGACATTATTAGAGTGAAACCACATAAGTTAGTAAATCATGCATAGTCGACATTAACGGAGTGGCGGCGGGACACTAGCGTCAGCATTTTGTGATCGGCGGCCAGTGAAGAGCAGTAAAACGTGATGAGTCAATAAATATAAAATTATATAAAGGGCATTTTAGTATACTAGGATTAATAATTATTAATTAATTAATTAATTAGTACTAGTTATTGAAATTAAAACTTGTGGTGCTATATAGAAAAATTCTTTATGTTTTAGCATTATTTAAATAAATTTCTTTTTAATTAAAGTTTACTTCAGTAGTTGTATCTAATATAATTGTAATTATATTTAATTTGTTTCAAATCTAATTTGATTCTAAAAAAAAAAACTTCAAATAAGTAAGGAAAAACCTCTAATTCTGCCCCTATAAATAACCCACCGGATCTGGTTGTCTCGGTTGCCTTGCCTTTCAATCCCCCGTCTCTCCGGCCAACCGAAACGATGTCGTACGCGTACCTTTTCAAGTACATCATCATCGGGGACACCGGTAATGTCTATTTCTTCATCCATTCGAACCGCTACGCATACGTTTTTCTCAGATTTGCGATTTCATTCGCGGTTTCAGTTTTGTTTTGATATCGTCGTTTTCGTGATCTTTAATTTATGTTGAAATTGCACGTTCGATTTATTTAATTAATTAATTATGCAGGAATTACACAATTTTTTTCAAATAATGAATCGTCTGAATTTTAATGTGTGAATTTGAATCTAGGCCGCGTTCTGTTTCGTTTTGTTTTTCTGAAGGTGTAAGTAATCGTATTCGGATTGTTCCAAGTTATATGCAGAATCGTTGGATCAAAAAGATTCTTTCAGGCCATTTTTGTTCATCACCCAAGTAATCTTGATCCAGATAGTCTGTGCATGTAGAGAATAAAATTTTTGTTCGTGATTCACATTATTTGGTGCTTGGGAATTTTTACCTTAAACCAATTTTGAATAGTTGTTTGACACTAAAGTTCATACCATATTACCACTTATTTCAGTATAGTTTGGGATTATGGTGATGATGATATATGAATGTATTTTGTGGTACAGGAGTCGGAAAATCATGTCTTCTTTTGCAATTTACGGACAAACGCTTTCAACCCGTGCATGATTTGACCATTGGTGTTGAATTTGGTGCTAGAATGATCACAGTTGACAACAAGCCAATAAAACTTCAGATCTGGGACACAGTTAGTTTCTATCTCCAGCCGAACATTTGATCTATTCCATCGAATTGTATACAATCTTGTAGCTCTCCATTTTTCGTTTCAAACGGTTGAAGATAAGTTCTTCTGTTTCAGGCTGGTCAAGAATCTTTTAGATCTATTACGAGGTCTTACTACCGAGGTGCTGCTGGTGCACTACTTGTTTATGATATTACAAGGTAGTACTATTTCTGGTGGATTCTTTTAATTTAAATGCTATTTGTACACACCATCTATTTTTACACAACTTGTACACCATTCGCTCAATCAACATTTTATGTTCCCTGAGATATTTGTTGTCTTTGAGATCAAAAATTTATGTCAGTGTGCACGGTGTACAAATTGGTGTACAAATGTACATTAGGTCCTGTATATAAAGCACACATGATCTTTTAAGCTGTTTAATTATGTCCAACTGCTCTAGCTGTTTTTCTGTTTATGGATGAGTTGTATCTTTACTGGGTTGTCACTTGTCAGTGACCCAAGGTTCCAAGAAGGTAGCGTTCTAATTCCCTGAATATAATTTGATGTTAAAGTATGGACCAAACTGGAACTCATAATTTCTTAATTTTTGCAGAATGGTCTACATATTTGACCGGTAGTCGACTAGATCTTGCTTTAATTCCACTATGTGTGGTTAATTTTTGGACTAAGTGCTTAAGTTATTGCAATAGTACCATTAATGACACAGGTTTCAATTGTGCCATTAGACTAGTTTCATAACAAATAAATTATGATTTTTTTTGTACTTGCATTCTATGGATAAAAATGTTTTAGGCTTGATTTTCTATTGTTTCTTGAGTAAATTCCCAAAATGGTTTTTTCTAATAAGGTGTTTTTCCAAATCAGTCGTCAATAAGGTATAATTACCAATGCGGCACTTTATAATTAAGATTTTTTCTCTAAATAGTCTTCAGAAGAAAATGTCACTTAAATGTCGATTAAGTGGAGGGTATTTTGGTATTTTTCATCATTTAAACTTAGAGTAGGTTCTGAAAATGATCATTTTAAATGAAGTGTTTTTCCAAAATTGTCTTTTCCAATTAAGGAGATGTATTTGATTCAAATTTTAAAATATTTTGACATATTTTTAATAATTTATGAATTATGTATAGTTAATAATTGTTTTAATTTTGCATGAAATTGTATAGAAATGACCATTTTAAGAATTTACTTTAAGTTTAGATAATAGAAATACAAATATACCCTCCAATTAATCGTCATTTAAATGACATTTTTTACGAAGGACTACTTTGGGAACAAATCATAATTATAACATACCATATTGGTAATTAGAACTTATTGAGGACTAATTTGGGAAAACACCACATTAGAAAGGATTATTTTGAGAATTTACTCATGTTTCTTTTTTAGTATTTGATTTCTCACTCCCTTCTTTTATTCTTAGACAATTTATCGCACCTTTATTTTGGTGGGGAAGGAGATTGGGAAATGGGAAGGGTATTATATTGGTCACCTCTTCATGTCCTTTTTGAAAGGAGATGGATTTGAATCCTTGCGCTCCTTGCAAAAAAGAGAGAGACTGGCACTGAACTACTTGCCACAAGCTAAACATTCTTACTCCATATTGGATTTTAGCTTCATTAGTTTTAAATTTATCAGGAGGGAAACTTTTAATCACCTCGCTAGTTGGTTAGAAGATGCAAGGCAGCATGCAAATTCAAACATGACCATAATGTTGATTGGAAACAAGTGTGATCTTGCACATAGAAGAGCTGTAAGCACAGAGGAAGGCGTACAGTTTGCCAAAGAGAATGGTTTGTTATTCATGGAGGCCTCTGCCAAAACAGCACAGAATGTGGAGGATGTAAGTAATGTCTTTTACACAGTCACCAACAGTTCTTTGGACTTATCTCCAGCATTCCTTTTATAATCTAATTTGAATTCCCAAAAACAGCAACAGACAGTTCGAGATAAAGCTTATGTCTTTTTCCCTTCTTGCAGGCGTTCATTAAAACGTCTAATACAATATATAAGAAGATTCAGGAAGGCGTATTTGATGTTTCAAATGAGGTAACCATGTGTAGCACTTCAATATGTTATACCGAGTACTTCTAAATATTTTAATCCATATCTCCCCCAAAAAGAGGTGCATCTGAACACTATTATCTGTCCAGTGAGTCCCCTATTTGAACAAAAAAAATCTAATTTTCATTATATTTATGCATCTTTCTTTTTTCAATAAACCAAAGCCTCAAAGAAGTTAAATTTAGTAATATCAGCATATATGTTTAAACTAAAGTTAGATTGAGAAGTGAAGATCTCTACTTCATTTAAAAACTGTACCTTGGCGAAACACGATTCTTATTTTGGGATTGAGGTACTACTAATAATTAACACGCCTCTTCCAGAAGTGGATTACATGCTAAACTCCTGAGAAACGCATGTTGAGCTTCATTTTTTCATTTTGTAAGCATGTCTCCTTTGTCACATTTTGCAGTCGAACGGAATAAAAGTTGGGTATGGGGGCATCCACGGGACATCTGGTGGAAGAGATGGAGCTGCCGCTCAAGGCGGGGGTTGTTGCAGTTGAAAGGCAGGAGTTGCTGTCTCATGTAATCTTATTATACTAAAAAATTCTCTGTTGCTGTTCATTTGCCTGTTTCGCATTTCCTTCTGTCCATTGTTAAAAGCTTGTCTTGTCTGATTGTTTTAGTTACCAATGTCCAAATATGAATTGCATCAGTATATAATGAACTGGTTCGCCCTCCCACTGTCTCATGTGCGGTGTTATTTCACACTATCAATTGTGAATAGAAAAACATTCGAAATGATTATTGTTTTTTATTTAGTACTTCTACATACTTTGTAGTACTCTGAAATAACAAACTTCGTAGTACTGCAATTTTATTCATTGTTACAATGCAGTTGGTTCGTTCCGATTTGTTGTTTACCTTGAATTTTATTCATGGATCTGTTGTTTCAAGTAATCATGGGAAAAATTAAAATAAACTTGCACCTATTTAACCTTGAATTTAGTAATTATGCTTCAAAATATGGATCAAAATAAATATTAGATGAACATATCAATGTCTGAACTAACTAAATATTGATATCCTGCACATATCAATATGACCTTCTATAGTCAAATAGATTAAACTTACTCATGAAAGGATATTAACAACGTTGTCAACTTATACCCAATTATAAGAACAGCATAACACCATCCTTAGCTTCATGCTTTTATTAAGGAGTACACAAGAATCGAGTATGGGACATGCAATCTCCCTTTATTATATAACATACTTTCCAGGTTTATTTATATACCATAGATTTGAACATGACAACTCTTCTAAACATGAACCTAAGAAGCTCCGAACATAGAACAACTTGTATCGCGCAACAAAAGCGAAGAGCTAAATCCAAGCCTCGAAGAACCCACATCAAACTCAAGCAAATGATTCTCCATTTGATATCCACCCACAACTATTGAGGTTATCGGGCCTGCACGACCAATCCCTCCATCCACAAACGCAAGACACGTAACATTTTCGCTAACTTTAACCATGGAATGGGATCCGTAAAATCTCCAATACACATTCTTGTTGTGCAAAACAAAGTCAATGGTTGGCACTTGGGGGCCTGTTTTGGAGTCCATTTCGACAGTTTTCGAATCGAAGCAGGCCCCAAAAGGATCCACAGATGGAACTCTTTTGATGTTCTTATTGGATTCAGCTGCCTTCACGAATTCCTTGATCAAAGAATTGTATAAAGAGCTATGGAGGGTAGTATACGGTCTAACGGTTCGTATACTCGTGCCTCCCGCCCCGGTTTTTGCGTTGATGGAGAGTAGGGTTTCGTTGAGAGGGAGGGTTTTGTCACCAACTTTGATGGACTTGAGGTTGATGAAATATTCAACACTTACGTTGCCTGTTTGTTCTGTAGGCCAAGTGGCCACGGGATTCTTTATCAATGGTGTGGTGTGAAGTGATTTCGAGATTTCTCGAAACGAGCCATCGTATGCCCCTTGACCGATGATCATCTTACCGTTATTCCCCAAGGAGGGGATGCAAAGCGCAAATTTCTCAGGGATCTTGTAGTTTGACACGAGTTGGGCTGGTAAGGAAATTCTGGTCAAACCTAGCCCCACTACTCCTGCAGTAGGACTAGCTAGACCTTCTCTTAGAATAGGGTCCGAAAATTGAAGTGGAAATTTATCTATCCTGTACTCGGCCCCACTCGTGGAGGTCACGCGTAAAACATCTTGCCCCAGGCCACTGTACCCCAAGGTGCCCGTGAAGGGGTTCGGGGCATAGTCCGAGCACGTGTTATTGGTGCACCCAGGGACTGGCGGGGACTGGAAACAAAACACGCAACCGACCCCATTGGCGATCTTGCATTGTTGGGTTCTGCATAGTATGGGACGGTACGATGAGGCTGAATTGAAATAGTCTATGGAGTTGAAGTATAGGAGCTTGCCGCCGAGGTCAATTACCACATTGAGAGTGGTGGCGTTGGAACCTACTTGGATGGTGGTGTAATATTGATTGCTTGTGGTGTCTTTGTTGATGGGAAAAATGAAGGCTTGGGGTCGTGGAGGGTTTATTTGAGCACAAGACAAAGAAAATGATATAAATAAGGAGACTAAGAAGATTAAGAGAGTAGAAGGGGCCATCTTGTGGAGTATTGGTGGATAGCTTGGTTGCCCATATTGATCTGATCGATGTATGTGTATATATACCCTACATGCACAAGTGGATTGAATTAGAAAAACGAGCTCCTATTAAATAATAATAAAAAGTGTTGAATTACTGGAATAATTGACAAAGGTGGCACATCATGGCATGCCAGCAAACCATCGTTTTACGATCTCCTAGTATACTCGGCTAGATTGGGTCAACATTTTACACCTTATTTGAACGGATAAAACTATTTGTACCCGATTTTGTACACTGCAGCAGAAATACAGCAATATTTTGTATTGGTGTAAAGCTAATTTTTGTTAACGCACCAATACTTTGTGTCAATGAAAATTTTTGTTAACGCATCAACACTTTGTGTCAGTGTGAATCATCTAAATGTTGATATACGGAGTATATCTTTAGTGTACAAATGAGGTACAAATTCTAAGGTACATGTAGCATGCTCCTATTTGAACACTTATTGGTCAAAACAACTTTTTTTTTAAAAAAGACCATCTCCAACCATATACATCACATTCAAACCTGTATACTCCCTCCGTCCGGGAATTAACTTCCCACTTTGACTATTCCTTATTTTTAGTGGGTGTTAATTTTGACATTAAAATGTCTAAAATACCCTCCAATCTTTTTGTTATGCCCCAACACTATTCTACCCACACCCCAGCCCACTGCCAGTCCACCGCCGCCCCAGTCCATCGCCGCCGCAGCCCACCGCTGCCCTAGCCACATCCGCCGCTCCACCATACACTCCTGCCCCAGCCCCCACCACAATAAATAAAGAAAATAAAGAAAAACCTGAGGGAGGCGGAAAGAAGAAGAAGAAAAACCTATAGATCTACAGATCTACCCCACCGCCGCCGTCTGCTCTACTATTACCGTCAGCCGCACT